TAAGGCTCTAATACTGAAGGTTCCATGGAAATCCCAAATACTTATCCTTCCTTCCCAGGAACATCTCTCCTTGATATGACCACACTTCCACTGGAAACATCATGTGGACCAATTTCAATCCTTAGAGGCACTCCCTACAAATCAATATCCAAGACATGAGACAAATGAAACAAAAGTTGAAAAGCATTGTTGCTTAAAAAAGAGCAAGAAAAAGAAAAGCTTGTGTTCTAACTCCCAACCAAAATAAGATTGAACCACACCACATGATAACAAAATAATACAAGGACCCAGAATGAACAATCAATAGTTAAGTTTATGTTTGGATTTCTAAGACATTGATGTATCATGTGAATTACCTGAATATTTGACCATGTTTTATGAAATTCCAAAAGGCCCCTTTTCATAAAGTTATCCTTCAGATCATAATTGAAATGAATGGGCAATGGAAGAATCAATGTTTGTGGCTTTTCCATTTGAACAAAGAAACTTAGGACAATGAATTGTTCTTTTACACTCCAGATGATCATCTAAAACTTCACAACACTTGAACTTTAAGAGCAACAGACCTTCATCTCCCAGAAATTGAACTTCCATCCTGGTGTCCTCTGATCTGAGTCATCAAGTTTGACTTTAAGTCCAGCAGTTTTAAGAACTTCTTTGACAGATATGGCGGTATTGAGAACTCCTGTTTTCTCATCTTCCTTCTTCCAAATTGGTATGATTACCACCTAAGCAAACACAATAGACAACAATATAGAAAGATAACAGCCATAACAATAAAAACGACACTAACAAAATCATAATAGGGCATGCATGCAAATTAGAAAGATTTTCAAATAACCCCACAGTAAGAGTCAAGAATAAAACCAAATATTCTCCAAAACTCAAGCACAATCTTCCACCCAACACTTTGAAATAATAACACCATGCACATTTTCCACTTCATGCATTAGCAGCCACTAATATAAAACTGTCACTACCTCTCTTGTCAACTCGTGCAAAAGCTCCCATAATTTGAGCAGAAAACCACAGCTCTTACCACAACTCTCATAACCATCTCAAAATTCACAAACAGCACCTCAATCATGCACTTTCAATAGAAACTAAATTAAAAGTCACTAATCTACCAAGTCCCAATAGAAGAAGCCATAGCAAGAGCCTGCTAATCTGCTACTCATTGTGTGCACATTTTTATTACCAAGTGTTACCATCACCCTGGGAAGTGCGCTTGTAAATCATCGATATCTATTTTAAACTTTAAGTGCTATAAATGTACCATAGAATCATAAATAGACTACAACACATTCTCACAAGTCACAATTCAACATGCTCAGGCAACTACCAACAACATTACCAATTTCCATGCAGCAAATAACATGCTCTCTCTTCAGACTTAAATATATGGGGCTCCTTTGAGCAAAACAAATCCTCTTGACATTTATCTCCTCAAAAAATTACTAGGCATCAATTTCCCCCTATAAGGTAAACAAACTACCTGTAATTGATATAACTGTTGTTTAGCTGCAGATGAAGTTTTTTGACAGCTAATGCCAATCTTCTGATTGACAAATACTCTACCCTTTTTGTGGGCAATCAATCCACTTCAGAAATCCCATATGATGGACTTGAATTATTTAGATGTGCTCCTAATCGTAATTTCAGTCACATGGTCTATTTAAAACAATTAACAATGCACGTTTAAATCAAGCACAGAAACTCCAGGTTCCCTCATCAAGATCAGACCACGTTCATGCATACCTGTATTGGTGCAATCTTTGGAGGAAGCATTAGGCCTGCATCATCTCCATGAGTCATGATAATGCCACCAACAAACCTTGTACGGATAGCCCAAGATGTTTGCCACACATGTTACCTTTGTCCATTTTCATCAGTGAACTGTAAAATTACACATTCAGGCAAGTGTCTCCTTGATTTTCATTTTTTTTTTTTTTATGTTATTACTGTGTAAACTCAAAATCAATAACAAGTCAAAAAAGAGGATTGACAGAGAATAATTTTGAATTGCAAAAGTTCTGCAAATTAACTGTTTATTGTGTGTCCAAAAGAGTAGAAAGAAGCATACTAAATTCATGCAAACATACACCAGGAATCAGAAGTACAATGCAAAAAGAACCCACCTCTGTCCCAAAAGCACGGGAGAAGTTTTGCCCAAGATTGTGGCTAGTTCCAGCCTGTAATGCCTTGCGGCCACCCATCATAGCCTCTATTGTATAGGTTATGGTAGCACCAGCAAACGTCTCTACTTTTGATTTTCTACCTGCAATAACAAGTATTGCAGCTTGCTCATGAGCAAACTTTGTATAGGTGTCGGTCATCTGTAGTGCCTGCAGTTTAGCACCACCGATCCGATAAACAAAAACATTAGCCCCTAAAAATATCATGAGTCATGACATAGTCATTAGGGAAGTCACAAACCTCTTTTTCTGCCTCTTCTCGTGTAGCATGAGCAGTATGGCCCTCCTGCCACAGAAACTCAAGAGTTCTCACAAAGGGTTTTGTGCACATCTCCCATCTTGTGACATTTGCCCACTGAACCAATTATCGTAGAGATAGGAATACATGTAAGAAACAAACCTGCATAACTGAACAACAACACACCAAAAATAAAGCTTGTACCTGATTAACCATGAGAGGAAGATCTCAATAACTATGAATCCACTGTGCAAACATGTGATTTACTATGGTTTCACTAGTACGTCGAACCTGCCACAACCTCAGGAAGTGCAACAATCAAAGCCAAACTCAGGTCATCCCATCTCATGAAGCAGCATTTTCATCAAAATCACATTTTTGTAATGCATGTATACACTAACCAAGTAATATATGTACCACAAGTTTCTCTTCAAGTTCCTTTCCTCCTACAATTGTAACAAGAGCTAATTCCGGACTGAAGCCCTCTACATGACTTGCTTCCTTCTCGATGAACAAATATGGAATAAACTGCATGCATATTCAAATTGCAAACATTAGAACCAACATAAAATGTTGTCCTCAACAACATAATCAACCATTCATGTAAGCAGCATATAAATAATTGATTTAGAGGTACCATACATTTGAATCATCTCAAGCTATAGAAAGATTAAATTTTCACCTATAATCGACCAAAGGTTTCAGAACCAGACCTATGGAAAATACATGTTACCGTGCCCAGTTTCCTTGAACTTCACATTCAAATATTCCTCCAAGTTTGAGCACAAAATTCAAAATCCAGATACAAACTAAATCATGCCAACGCTGAAAATGCATACAACAAAGGAGTTTCTTTTTTTTTTTCTTTACTTCACAAGCACATCAGTTTAAGGTATTACAAATAGAAGGACCAAATAAGTGAATTTTTCACTTCAAAAAGACTGAAATTAGAGAAAATGAAGTACCTGAATTGCTTCCCAAATAGCGTAGCCACAGGGACGAATAACTATGGTACCTCGAACTGGGCCGTAATCAGCTAGCTCAGCATTTGCAATAACATCGAGATACCAAGCATTGAAGTCCCGAGAACGAGGCGTGATAAACTGGTCTGAGTTCAGACGGTCTTGCACCCGGCTTTTCTGGCTGTCGACTCGGTCTCTCTTGCGGACTAGAAGCAGTGCTCTGGACCGAGAATCCGGAGGCGAGAAGCGGCCGGATGTGGTGGCGCCTCCGCAGGGCCAGCGGATACCCGCGGACTAAAGAAGAGGAGAATAAGGAAGTCAGAGACGGTAGTCTAAGAGACGATACCATCTTCGGGTAAGTCGTTGGGGGGTTTCGAGTTTCGACGATACGACTCAGTGAGAAGTTGGGGAAGACAAGGTCCGTTGTGTTTGGGACGAGCGGGCAGGACGATTTCGCGATGGTCGTTTCCATGGGCTGAGAGGCCCGTGGGCATTGAATGGCTCATTTAGTTTCATTTTAGGCTTTAGCCCAATCTTACCGCCAACAAACTGTTATAAACACAGGTAATGGTAATGCTTTCTTTCTTTCTTTCTTTCTTTCTTTCTTTTTTTTCAACACGAAAAAAGAAAATTAAAACGGTTTCACATTAAAAATAAAGTAATGTTATGGTTAGAATATTATATAAAATTATAAAAAATAAATTTACAATATAATTAGTATGAAATATTATTAAGCAAATAGATACATATAATATCATAAGTAAAGTTATGAATGAAAAGAGTCAATTATATAATGACACATTATATTATAAGTTTATAATATTACAATTATAATATTTTTGTTAAAAATATCAACATGATGCCACGATCATATAATTAATGTGATAAAGTTGAAAAAAGAAAACACTAAAACCAATATTATTAAAAAGTTGGTTTTCAAAACTAAACTCACAACCATACCTAACGAAATATTAGTTACCATGGAAAAATGAATAGGGGTTCGAATCCATTTAATTTCCATAAGAAAATAAATTCAGCTTGTGGGGTGGAGTTTTGAGTAGTCTCTTAATGAACAGAACAATTTGAAATTTTGAATAGCCATAAGTGTAAAAGATGATTTCAATATTATTATTACTTGAGAAATATTTCAGTATCCATTTATGAGTTTGGGAAAACAGGTTCTTTCACCCTGCTACATGTGCCAATGTGGATGCATTATGCGTCGTTGAGTGACAGTTTAATGCACGTGTATTGCACATATGTTTTTGGTCAAAATCACGCCATTATAGCTGTGATGAGATAACATCTGGCAAAAGCTTAATGCCTAAGGTTGCACAATGTGAATAATTATTGTTCTCTAATCAATTCTTCTCTCTTTCATTTCTGTAGAATGAAGTTATTAACGACTTAATTCTTTAGAGCACATTAATTAAGGGCGAAGATAATTAATTTTCAAGCCAACTATAGGATTATGTACTCAGATTAATGAAAGTTGTATGTTTTCACCTAATTATTTTTAATTTTACTGAATCTCAAGATTTGGTTTAACATTTAATTTAAAATTATCTTTATTTTGTGTTACCAAAGTTTTGTCACACGTACTTTTTATATAAGTTAAATCATCCATAGCTTAATAAGAAAATTTTTAAAACATTACTTGTTTGTGATATGGTATTGTCAAAAATATCAAACATGTAAACAAAATGGAGGGAAATGTAAATAATTCGAAGACACTACTAATGCTTTATATCCCCTTATATTGACCATTCTTTTAAAATTCAAATATAAAAATTATTTATAGAATCAAAAACCACAACATTATATAAATAAGATGCATATTAGTAGCATCTTCTTCGATTATAACTTTAATAAAATAGAATTTTGATTCAAAATTATATAATAGAATTATTATACGATGCAACCCTCTTTCATTATTAACAATTCTTCTTAGTCTAATGGATATAGTAATGTTTTGTAGTCGAATACAATTCAAACTCTAAAACACCTTTCTATTAATATAATGACAAAAATGAAATTGTATTTAGCCAAAAGACATTTGTACCCCTTCCGGTACTAACGCATAGGTTCTAAACGGTTAGGCTACATGGTCATTTCCAAACAAGAACATGGGCAAACGGGAAATAAACCAAAAATCAAATTCAAAGATTTTGACTCAGCCGTTCTCGTCGTATTTGGCGGTTTTTCCTGCTCATCATATAAATGGCTTAAACTCAAAGCTTTCGTCCATTTTCTCCTCTCTTTCACATAAAATTTCCATTTCCTACAAATAGTAATACCAATATTAATAATACCCTCTCATTCTTCCTTCCTTGACGGAGATTCAGATCTGAAACCGATCTCTCTGCTCTTTCCAATTACAACAAAGAAAAAAAAAAAAAGAAGATCTCAACAATGGCGACGGTATCCCCTCTCGCCAAATACAAGCTCGTCTTCTTGGGCGATCAATCTGTCGGCAAAACCAGCATCATTACTCGCTTCATGTACGATAAATTCGACACCACGTATCAGGTCTATCTTCATCTAGATTTCCTATTCTTCTTCAATTTTGCTGATGCTTCATTTGTGTAAAATTCGCTTGACCTGATGTTGTGTAAATTTTCCGCGTCTCTCGTCAAGGAATTTTCAACTTAATTATATATTGTATTAAATTTGCTATTAGCGTGATTTTGATATGCATTTTGGTTATTTTGTATTGGACATTGATCTTTGATTTCTTAGAGGTTTATCACGCTGTATGAGAACGGTGTAGAATCTTAGATCCATTTAGAAGGTTCATGGCCTTTGATCTATTTTATTATGATTAAATAAATTACTTTGTGGTAATCTGGTTGACATAGGATTTTCTCACATTGTTGATTAAGAATTCATTCTTTGGTGAGGAAGAAAAAATTCCTGAAATATTCCTTAGTTATCTTGTAAATAATATATGTGATTTTAAAATATGTGTAAAACTGACTCATGATATCACCTGACTACTATAAAAGAAAAGAAGGCTTTATTTTGGCAGATAATTTCCCTTTCATTTGTCTAGAAGCATAGATCTTGATGCTTTTGAGTTGGTTTTGCCGGATTATAACAAAAGTGGATTGATAAATTTATTTAGTTTCAAATAATTATAATATTAAAGACTGTTTTGGCTTTACTGTTTTTTCATATATGTGCTGCAGGCCACAATAGGAATTGATTTCTTGTCAAAAACAATGTATCTTGAAGATCGAACGGTTCGTTTGCAGCTTTGGTAAAGATTTCTTTCCTTAGGCCATATGTTGATTATTTGATTCCAGGGCTGAAATTGAGGGGACAAGGGTTTATCTTGGCTACTATAATTGACCAATTCCTTATGTAAATTGCTGTGCAGAATTTTAGTTTGAAATTTTTATCTTGTAATTCACAGGGACACTGCAGGGCAAGAGAGATTTAGGAGTCTCATTCCAAGCTACATTAGAGATTCTTCCGTAGCAGTAATTGTCTATGATGTCGCTAGTGAGTATCATCGATCTGACTCAAAATATGCGATTTTCTTGGAAGTTTTTTCATTAACTTTGTGATTATGCTGGCAGACAATTCTAACCCCTTGTGCTTCCCTCTGCATGTGTTTGGATCTTTAGTATTCAAAGGCAGGCATGGGAAGGGTTTTGTTTATTTTCTTTTATACATATAGAATTGCCCGCCATTTATGCAAACTTTTACCATGTAAATTCCTCACTTTGTCATCACCATATGCAGATAGGCAATCATTTTTGAACACTTCTAAGTGGATTGAAGAGGTGCGTACCGAAAGAGGCAGCGATGTCATTATTGTTCTTGTTGGAAACAAGACTGACCTCGTTGATAAAAGGTAATCAGTTACTGATAAATTACTATATTTTCTTCAACAATTCCCTTATTAGGTGGATATCTCATATTAGTATGTTGTTTCTTTTCTTTAATGATTAAACAGGCAGGTTTCAATAGAAGAAGGGGATAACAAGGCTCGTGAATTTGGAGTCATGTTTATAGAAACAAGTGCAAAAGCAGGATTTAATATCAAGGTAACACAATAATGGAACGGAACGAAGCTCTCCATATATTAGAGTTTCTGGATTTTGAAGTTGTAGGATGAATTCATGGTTAATATCAATGTCAAAACATGCTGTTTTTTCCCTTTTTCTTTTCTTTTAATAATTCTCGTATGTGCGCATTTGGCAGGCCATTTTGACTTTGATTCCATTTATTGATGTCCTTTATTTTTTTCATTTCTTTTTTTTTAGAAAATTAAAATTAAAATATCTTAATATTTTAGATGTCAGGACTTTCTAAAAAATTAATTGTTTAAATATCATTAGTAAATTTTTTTGTGTATTAATAAATTAAGGATATTTTAAAACTTTCATTATCATTCCTCTTATTTTATTTGTTTTATTTGTTTTATTTGTTAGGAATTAACAATTAACACATCTTGATTAAGACATATTGATTTTCCTCAATGCCTTAATTTTTAATGCCTCCATGAACTTAAAGTTCTAGTGTGAATGTGAAATTGCAGCCTCTGTTCCGAAAAGTTGCTGCTGCCTTGCCAGGGATGGAAACTCTTTCTTCAACAAAACAGGAAGATATGGTTGATGTGAACCTGAAGCCCACTGTCAATTCATCCCAGAATGGAGACCAGCAGGGCGGAGGTTGCGCGTGTTAAAAAAATGAAAAATGAACTGAGACTTTAGGGAGCACTTTTCAAGCGTGGAATACACAAGTGATGAATTTAGAAAAACATGATTCTGATTTTGAGGATCGACATTTACCGACCATCTCTTTGAGTATTTAGGTAAAGCATTAATGCTTCATACCAAAAAGTACACGGTTTGTACATCTGTCATTACTGTCTTGTTGCACGATTAGGAACCATGTATGGCCACCATGCCACATCTTTAGCATTCTTTTAAACTTTCACTTTTCAAAGCATTGTATTGAAAAACAGCAGCGGAATTTACATAACACTAGTCGTCTAATATGGCCAAAAAAAAATAAAATAAAATAAAGTACTGAGTTTTCCGTTGAAACTTGAAACCCTCTAAAGATAAGCTTTAGTCATTCTGTTCTCAAGTAATTTATTTATATACACAAAGGAAATCTTAAAGATATTTCAGAAAGCTTGACTCAACAACAGTTCTCAAGAGACAGTAGTTCTCAATACAACCTTAGAAAACAAAGTTCAAGCATAGATCAGGAGGTGAAGAATATAGTAGGCCTAGACATGGTTGAAACCATCAGCTGTTTGCCTAACTCTCAGTGTCAGATATATCAACACCAATGTTCCCATACTTGACCTGAACCAGAAAGATGGTAAGGTAGTCAATCACTAGATGAGATTTTCATATTAAAAGATCACAAAATGCTACAATCTATATAATATTTTATCTTGATTCCAACAGAGTGACTTGATTTGGTAAAGAAAAATGACTAGCTTGATGCAAATTGATGCGAATGTAGATGTACCATTTTCCAGGAAAAGCTCACCAAATCATTACGATTGTGCATACTTTTCATATTTGACCAGATTTTATGTCAAATATGCCACTCTTACTAAACTAAATGGTTATCTAACACCATTCTGGCCAATACAACTAGGATATATCTCCAATACATGATAAGACTTGCTATTTCAAGCAAACTTATTGCTAATTTGGATTATTTTCAGTTTCCTAATAGAAAAATATTAGCAATTTAATAGAACTCATTTCCATTCCTACAAAGAACTCAAAAGAATAGATGGTTGTATTTAGTTTGCTTGAGATACTCTAACTTACAAGATTGAGAAAAGGAGGACAACTTTTCTTGAATCAAATAAGGCAGCACGCTTGTATCTTCTCCATCTATTTGTTGGTGTGTCATGCACCCTCTCAGTTGGTGATTTATCTGTTAAAAGTAAATTTTCATCCATGATTTAAACTTATTCTTCAAGGACAAGCTAAAGACAAGCTACTAGGAAAAAGTATCAGAGGATGCACAATGCATATACACAATTGAAATAGACTGAGCTTCAAGATGAGGTGTGTCATGAAAGATCCACCACATGTAAAAATTGCTTTCAAATAAAAGGTAGTAAAAAAAAATAATCCCAGAAGCTAGCCATGCCGAAGCTTATGAACAGTAGTAGTATGAATTGCTTAATTAAGTTCCAACTTTGAATTTTTTTCAAATCCCAAAATTAGGTAGAAGTGAACATCAAAAGATCGCCAAACATTAGAGGTAATCCTGTAGTTTGATGTTTTTAATCTATATGTTTAGATTCTGAAAGGCTGAAAGCTCATACTTGAAAGTATTACCTTGGGAACCTTAACAATCATCAAAATTTTCTGTTTCTCCCAATTTCTCAACTGTGTATTTTTCTAACTTTCCATGTCAAACCAGCAAGCTAAATGATGCACAACGCCTTTTAGTTTTAGAGTTTATAAGTTGCTTGTAACACCTTTGGTAACAAGCTGAACATGCCACTCTTTTGGATGATTTCTTCACCAGCAGAAAATGAAAGATATTTATTATGAACATGATGTAATTGATTAATGACTCTGTCACATAAACAGATAAAGCATGCAACAAATGGAAACCTATGGAGGTGAATTTTTTTTTTTGTAGTTGTCTTGAATTAAAGCTTAACTAGTTCCTTACCTGTAATTAAGCTTGCTTGTCTCTGCAACACCTTCTGAAAATGCTGTAAGCCATCAAAATCTAATATTAGAAACAAAAAAAAGAAAAAAAAAAAAAGAAGCAAAAAGAAAAGGCAAATAGGTAATCATTTTCTAATAAAATCAAGATTTTAAAATTTTTGAATTTAATTTCTTTTTCATTCTCTGTTTTTTTCCCTCATTCAAGTGCTTGTCTTGTTTATATATCAATAATACCATGATAAATGTTAGTAGAAATAGAGAAGAAAGAAAAAGAACAAAGATAAATAACCTATAGCTACATCATAAGATAAGTAAGCTGAACTTACCGAAACTAAGCCTTCACTTTTTGAATTTCCTACCATTTCTTCATTGGATTTGAGTACTTCAGAATTTTCCTTCTCAATATTTATACTCACAACTGAAGGTGAATAATCATCTTCATTTTGCAGTTGTAAAACAACGCAGTTCTGGCAACTCAGTAGAGTGTCCATGCACATTTGATTTTTCGATGAAAAAGGGAGTCCTAAGAAGCTCAGAAAATTTAATGGTGACATACATTGTGGGCTGACATTTCCTTCCTCTGGTAAGACAGAAAGGCAAAAAGAATCTTGGCCCTGCACAAATGGAAGCAGTTTTTAAGTAACTTGGTAGGAGGAGCAAAGGTCCAAAAGATTGAACTAACATGCAGTAAATCAATTGGTGAAGCAATTCTCCTCTATAGATATCAAACTTTGAAAACGACCAGAAAAGGGGCATTAGCAGACAAAGTAGTAAACATACTACACAAAGACAAACCATAATTTTAATTGTATGTCCTTAACCTTGTCATTATAAGTGCAAACTGCAATTGCCTTTTAGGTAAACCTAGTCCAAAAAGATAACTTTTCCAAAATTCCCCCTAACAGGGCAAGTGTAATTGACATTAGATATTAGCAACAAAATTGAAATGAATAAATTGACAGAAACAGAAATGTAAAAAATGATGTTCTCTCTCAAAGAAAGAAAAAAAAAAAAGGAAAAGAGTGAAAGTTCCACTCAAAAGTTATTAATATTATCCCTGGGAAATATGTTTGCACTTCAATAAGCTTGACAAACAAACTGAAAGATACCTTGCTTTCTTGGCATGCATTGCATTGTATTGTAAGCACTGTTTAAACTTGACAAGAATCTCAAAGCATGTTATGCATTTAGTGGAGGAACGCCAATATGTAATGTATACTTCTCTCACCTTCCTGGCAGGTCATGTAGTTAACTAATAACTAAAACATTGTACGTCATATTTCACTTCCAAAATTCTCTAAATTTCCCTTTCCACATAGAAAGTACTAGATCTAATTAAGTGAAGGCAGAGTTGGCATGAGGGAAATTTTAAACTCCAATCAACAAAGCAGAAACTGTAGAATTGCAAAAGGCTAGGAACTCATATCCATAATAACTACAAAAGCAGCCAACTCACTGGGTAGCAGAAAACATAAGCAAGCCTTCAGTAGGGAACTTTAGAGTTAACTAAAAACAGTCACGGTCTTAAATGCTAGCTCATAAAAACTATTTGGTGGGATTTGGACCAAATCAAACCCTGTCTTGAGTGTCTTCCCTTCTACCCAAGGATTTTGCAGCCTATCGTTGCTCCAGAAAAAAATTCCTTTTGGCCTTTTCTTTTACTCTCATCGAATCTCTTCTTTTTTGTGGTAAATTCTAAGCTTTTTTTTTTTTTTCAGTTGCAGAATGAAAAATAGTATCATCTCCTAAATAGAGATCCAAAGTTCCAAATCTAAGGATTAAAAGAATAAATAAACGGTTGACTATAGATTAAGGAGTATATCAGTAGATAACTATTTTCCTAATCATGGAGAAGAATGCCTCAATATCACTGAACTAGCAATCATATGCCATTTTAAGGGAAAAAATCACAGTAAAAATTTCAGGAAATTTCGTTTGGTTGCTGAGAAAACGAAGAAAATGCAAGAAATTAAGTTTAAAATTTCTTTTCTCCAACATTTTTTCATCAACCAAACAGCGAGCACCGAAGAGGTAAATCTAGCAAGAAAATCTGGAAAAAAAGGAGGAGGCGTAAAGTCGTGTAACAGAAATTCGAGATTCAGATTGTGAGAGTCGAAGAATGAAGCAAAAACTTCGAATACTCATGAGAAATCAGAAAGAAACAACAAAAATCAGAGAACGCAGGACGGCATTTTAGCTAAAGATGAACAATTCATCGCTCAAACAGCTCGATTCCAAAGAAGAAACAGAGGAATCAAGAGATGTAGATTGCATGAGTATGGAAAATTTTCTCAGTAAACAAACAGAAATCTCACCTCCTCAGGCGACTTTGCGGCCATTTTGAAAGATGAGAGTTCGACTTCAACGTATCTTCACAATGCTGAATGCATATGATTCCCTGAGTTCTCTGAATCTGCAGATATATTGCGATGAAAAGATCGGAGGTGAACGTTGCCGCTAATCTGGCGCGATTTGCCAGAAAGAGTCCTGACTACGACATTGACGAGAAGGACAAATCTTCGCCACGTATTTTTACCACAATGCCCTTTTTTTCTTTTTCTTTTTCTTTTGGATAAAAGGACGGTAAAATCTTGTTGACCTAAATATCAATTATGGAAAAATGAAAATGTTTTAGAAAAAACAAATTATTATTATTA